TAAGTTGATAGACCCGTTTCAAATGTTACGTGAGTATTATTCATGTGTTCATTTTTAGTAAACAGGGCCCCGCTGTTGTGTCACTTTTTGTCGAGTGAGTGAACTCAAATCCATCCGTGCACTCGTCAATTGCTGCCGCCACTCACTCGTGGTGAGGGCTGACTAAACTCACAGGACAAGAGTGTTTTAAAACCTCCAGTGATTTTGAAGAGTTTCAGCGGCTTGCAAGGGAATCATTTTTGCGTCGATTCAAATCTCAGCTTCAACTTTACACGTTGTGATCAGAATATGGTAGGGTTTTTGATTCAATTTCCGTCTTACTAAGCACAACTCACACTTTACCTCTTATTGAACGGATTTTAATAATAAATGAAATGTTTTTATAAAAGATGACTTTTAAATTTATTCCCCTTTCCATAAGTACCGTTGAATTTGATTAAGAGCCACACATTGTTGAGATATTGTTCTTGATTTCAAATTCGTCCTACGAGTTTCAATTCCGTCCTAACGCATTGAAACGCCATTGGATTTTCTTCGTCCTACGGATTAAGGTAGAAAAAGCGAGTTTGCTAGGAGCGCTTCTTTTGTTTTGAGAACAATGAGTGTAAATATTCACCCAATACGCTCTAATAGGCTTTGTGTTGTAGCTTGTAAACTAACGCATCAGTTCAAACGTATTACTGATTTGTGCATGGTCAAATCATTGATTATACTGATATTTTCTGCTCGATAGAACGGAAATGAACCATTACGACGAAGTAGCGCTCTGCCCTACTTTAAATATTGAACAAAATGTTCGTTTATATCGTCCCCTTTAAGCTACAACTAGGTTTAAATTTTGAGTTGATCAAACCAAAATATTCATCTTGTAAAGCTCTATAACATATAAAAAAGTCGTCAAATTACGGAAGCAAACAAAATAAATATTTATATATTTTTCACAACTAGGTATCTCAGTTTAGATCAACGACATTGTGTGCTACATCTAGGTAACTAGATACAATCTAGTGTGTTTCCAAGTGATTTGACTATCAACCCAAGAAATCAGGGAAATTATATTTGTGGCCGGGCAAAGCAAGCCATTCTATAGCATAAATCTCCAAGTAGGAGAGACTTAAAACATAGAGGTAACTCTAAAGGCCCAAGCGCAATAATGGCGGAAGCGGAACGGCAACGGCAGCGGAAAAGCCCGATCTGAGTAAGCCCACTTGTCGGATTGAAAACTAGTTAGATCCAAATAGACTTCGGTTAGGCATCTTGATGTCATTAGTGACAACTGTAAAACTTTCCGTTTCCGTTCCGCTTCCGCGCACATTGCGTTTGGGCCTTAAGACTAGAAGGTCCCGAAGAAACGTGCTCAACTTTTTGGCTCAGCTCTGGTACTCTCTTCGGTTCCAAGCTAATCGATGTAGCCCTCGAAACATAGGAAAATCCACGAACCCCTCATTTTATCTGTCAAACTTTCATAGCGAATCAAAACAAACATAGTGTAGTACTAGAATTTCGACTAGAATGCGGTACGTTAATCGATTTGCTTGGGACCAATAGGCTAGTCAAGTAGTGAGCCAACTTCAAATCTTTAGTTTCCACCGGTTGCTTAAGATGTTAATCTAAAAGTATAAATATAGGTACCGTCTGATAATTTCAGTGCTTGGTATTGAAATCTGTAATCTGTAATAGAAAAACTACTTTTTTCTCTCCCAATTAATACCCTTTCTTATGCAAAATGATGGTTCTAAAATTCCTTGCTGTTCATTCTGAAATCTAAAATGATTTCAAATTCCCGACTTCTTTTCGATTTGCTGGTTCACTCGTCATCTGCTCATCCCACACCTGTCCGATATCATCCGATAGACTCTCCACAAATTAGAGAGTGAAATATATCGTCCGTTTCGTGTAATAGGGCACAAATTAAAATATGTGAATTTCCACAATCAACGTTTGAAAATGTGGGTTCAAAAAACCTTCTGCATTTCTGTGTTGAGTTTCAATTCAAAAATCTTTTCAATCGAGTGTGTTTCATTCAATCTATCAAATATCAGATCAAATAGTAAACAATCCAACAGTTGTTACTCCTTTTATTTGTGGTGTGCCCTTTTGTAATGTACTATTGCATATGATATGGGCAACATAGGTGCAATTCAAAATGTTCCTTTGATGCTACTTTATTTTTGGATTTTTTTTTATGAAAAAGTAGCTAAGACATATGTACCTATAACTTTTGATTTTTCATGAATTTCAAAATGAGTTTTTGTTGGATGAAACTTCACACTATTTTCCGCCATTTGTCATAAAAATCTCAAAAATAAAAAAATTCCGACTTGTGACAGTTTTGCATGAACCCGACGATGTATAAAAAAAAATAACCTGACGGATCGGATGATATCGCGTAGGTGCGAATTGAGCTTAATGCAAAAACAACTCGTTAAAGTGGTTAATCTCTTTCCGCCTGGTTGGTGGTATGCTGGTAGTCAAGGTGATCCACTCATCACGCCTTCGGCTGCGAGGATGTTTTTCTTCACGACTGCAGCGTGAAGGAAAATATCCGCCTTCTACCGCTGGCGTGCTACTGCTGGTACCTTTAGCGATCCGCTCACCACGCCGTCCGATGCAGAAATGAGCGGAGGTGTGACAGCAGCGCTTTTTATAACTTTACAGGTCCAAGCAGAACGACGCGCAACCAAGTGGTACTCGATTATGACGGGAAAACGTTTTCTTTTTTCATGTAAACAGTGATAAAATTATTACTTTTAATTTAAACATTTTTCAAAAATTTAATACGAAAAATTGTAAAATTATTTATTTCAGAAAATTTGTAGCGCTATTTACTATCGATTGGTGTATTTGCATTTTAATTGTATCTAAAAATGACAAAGGTATAAGCCTTGAAAATCTAGCACCTTTTCGTGACAGCCACAATTTTAGATTTTCAATTTATTATCCCTTCATTGTAAGACGTAATCTGCGTCAATTTTTTTTTTATTTTAAATAGCTTAATATTAAATCATTTGAAAAAGTAACGCATAGGTTTATAAAGTTCAAATCTCCATTGCTCAGAAATCATGGCGATTTAAGAAGTTCAATTTTCACAAACTTTATAATAAGTTCGTGTTAAAATTAGAGTGACTATATATATAATAAGGTTTATTGATTTTTCCCAAATATTCCGTTGAATTCCCGGGATTTTTCCGGTTCACAAACCACCCTGTAAACTAAATTTCCTATGGTATCTTATGTTAACTAGGAATTCATTGCTTGTTTAAAAGTATCATCACAAATTTGTGTATTGATTTGACTGACAGGTATTGCGCATTTCTCAACAAACTGGACAGATAAGCGCGATTTACCTTATTAGTGATAATAGTGAACGTTTACGTCAGATCGTTTTGTTTTCATCGGTTCACTTATGCCTTATGCAGCATGAAATAAGTGCTCCAACGACAAACAAAAATGATTCGCTGTAAACGTACACTTTTAGCACACTTTTGGCATTTTTGGAACAGTTCATTTTTAGTTGCAATTATCAATAGCTATGGTTTAAACATTTTACCGAAGATTGTGCCTTTGTAGAACAAGAGACCGCAGCAGAGGAGAAACTGAAAGAATGTATCCTGATATGAATGTGGGCGTTTTAGGCTGTGAACCATTTGCCGAGTTAAATTTAACTCGTGGTTAAAAGTGACATTTCGAAAGTTATTTTGTATGTTCGAAAATCCCTGTGCTGTCGATCGACCGGTTTTCGAGAAGAACTTAGCCAAGGTTGTCAAAATTTAACTTCTTGTCTGTCAGAAGTAACCACGCTCGGATAGCAGGGTTAATCTATAACTTTTCATCTGTCACATTTTAACCAAAAGTTAAAATAATCCACCAAATGGTTCAGAGCCTTAATGGAATACCTGTTTAAAGAGAGAGAGAAAGATTAGTAATTTCCATTTAATTCCTCGAGTCGAGTATTCGTACAAGACACTGAAGAAGTCTGCACATTGTAGATGAAATACGCGTATCTGTCAAGGATAAGCAAATAAGGTAGTGGAATTAAATGGAAATTACTAATCTTTCTCTCTTTCTCTTTATGAAAGAATGTGCAAAACATTACCTGCCTATGTGTGGAAGCGTTCGAATAAATTTGAATGGTTTGAATACGTGAAAACTGTACTTTTATCTGGAGAACTTCAAGATTAGGGCGTAGTTGCTTTTGTAAACACACATTTCATTCGATGATTTCTCGCGAATTAAAGCTAAATTTTAAAAACTAACAACACAAACAGATAAATGAATGATTCCTCTATCATTTGGTATAGTTTGTTCTCGAGATTGTTCTTTTATTCGTGCGAAATCAACGATTGACATGTTTGTTTACAAAAGCAATTACGTCCAAATCTCTAAGTTCTTCTTTTATGTTCTAATGATTTACAATAATGAACTGATGGATTAAGTAGCGCAGCAAGAATTAATTAGAAAAATACATCATCAGATGGCGATGACCAACCATACACTTGTTTGCCCTTCATAATATTTGTAATAATGATCTCAAACCCAAAACCTAGTTCACGACATGTCCTGTGACGTTTGCACGTTTTGCTTCCCATTTAACGACCTATCATTTTCTATATTTTGAGTTGCCTTTATTCCATACTCTCCCAAACACACTCACACACATGTTATTCCTTATTTTGCTATTGATGATAACAAACCAAAATGCTTGAATGATTTAAACAAATATACTACATTTGCTTAGCTTTGAATTTGGACCAGCCCCCAGGGAAGCAGGACGATCGCTCATTTTGTTAATTTTCCTCTCTTATGTTAACATTTACTGTATCCTTTAAGTCTACCTTAACCGAAGAACCTGGAAAGTTTTCCTGTTACCCTTCGAATGAACCGCTCCTCAATCGAAATCTAAAGTTTTACTTCATTTTGACGCCATTCTTATGTTCCACACCCAGCAAAAGTTTATCATTTTAATTTTCCGTTTTCTGTTTCTTTTTCTTTTCTCGTAGATCGTCCTGCTTCCTCGGTGTCCGATTCGAAACTGGCCCCGGCCGGTCACGGGACGCTAGGTAAGGCGGCAAAACAAGGGGCCCCACGGCGAACCAGCAGTGGCAGTGGGTCTGCAGCGGGGTGTTGCATCTGCTTCGGCCCTCGGAAGCGCTGGAGTGACACGGCTTCCGCTCAAATGTCCGACGTGTACTATGTGCACTGTCCCAAGTGCGAAGAAGAAGCACTGGAGCTGAACGATTCACCGGCTTGCTTGAGTACGGTTTCCAAGGGAAGATCAGCGGCAAAGCATCCGAGTTTGCTGATTGTAGAAAGTGAGATCGAGTATGGAAATGGGAAGAAGAAAACGCTCAATCGGAGTGGAAGTTGTAGCTCCGAGCGGAAGAGTCCGAAGAAAGGGCCGTCACCGGGTGTGCACAAGAAGAGCGTGAACAATAACAAGAGTGAGAAACGGCAGGATTCCGAAGAGGTGGAAATAGCCGATGATGCCGTTTCGTTGAACGGGGATTTAAGTGACGATGTGGTGAAGATGGGAGTCATGAATGACTTCGATGCGAATCAAATGATTCGAGTTAATGGGAAGGAGGAATTCCCGGTGGAAGAAACAATTGGTGCGAAGAACAAAGCAATAAGTCAGCAGAAGTCCTCGAGTAAAGGTGGTAAAACTGTGGTGAGAGAAAGCATCAAAGAGTACTACGAGAAGAAATCCTCTAAAACGTCTACGGCTTCCACAACCAACGCCACCAATAATACTGGCAGTAGTAAATTTTCACTCATCTATCGTAAGGGTAGCAATAAGTTGTCGTTAAAGAATAAGTATCCCTCAGTGGATAGCAGTACTGAAAATGCTAACAATAAGCCTAACCGTATAAATAGTACCAGCAGTAGTGCTGACAACAGTACCAAACCCAAGGAAGATGTCAACGGTAATACGGGAGTGAAGAGTGATCCCGAACGAACGACTGACAGACAAAATTCGTCACCGGAGCAGGAACGGAGAGAAAGTGCCAACATAACGGAAGCTCTGCGGATTCTGCGAGCCAAGAAGATGTGCTCAACGTTGCCCAAGGTTAAGAAACCAAGCTACAACAGCTTCTACATGAGGCCTCACACACTGATTGGGGGACGGTTGGTCGAACATGTGCCTAAGCGACGGACCCCTGATGGGACCGACATCTACTATTGGTGCGACTACCATCCAAAGCGAGGAAAAGGTTAGGAATGTTTGTGTATTGTTGGTTTTACACTGCTGCGTGTGTTTTACTTTACGTATCTCCACTAATGGAGAAGGGATGCCAGATTTTTTGGTGCACAATTCCGTAGTTTAGAGGTATTTTTAACATGATTACCGTGGAACACTTTCTAGTTTGAACCCCGCTAATCTGCACATCGCGCAAATTAAAAATTGCTCAAACGTCATACAGCAGATGGAATGGAGAAAAGCGAAAATGGAACGATGTGAAACGGAGCGTAGAATCAAAACAAAACAGCAAATAAGGCTACCAGAAAATCTCAAGGGGTATTCAACTCTGCAAACCTCAATCTGTACCGAGAACTTTATCTGTGCCGAAAGCTGAGGCAAGCGTTCGGTCGAGTGTGCCGAAGTGTGGCAATCAAGCTGTCGATCTCAGTATCCCATGAGTTTGGCAACCCTGCAGACTTTTGAGATTGTTTGTTTACATTGCCAAGTTCTCATTGCCTGGTGTTGAGAACTTGGCACTGATTAAGTCTGCAAGTAGTAGACGAAATACGCGTATCTGTCAAAAGATAAGCAATTATAACGGAATTTAAAGGAAATAAACCAACCAAAGCTCTTGATATAGGGATTCCGTTAAGAGGTTCGACAATTTTAAAGGATTGTCTCATGCATGGTTTAACGAGCTTTAACTGTGTATATTGCGTAGTATAAAGGGTGTCCACGATGAAATTGCCACACACAAAATTGATTCGCAAAATTCGAGTTTTCATCCGATTGCCATCAAATTTTCAGGGATTGAGAAATAACTATTAAACTTCATTTTACCATTTTACTCGTATTTTATTTACAGTCCATACGCAAATGCCCGCACCTTGGCCTTAACCCCGGCCATAAGATTCTGCACAACCTGTGAATCAACCGTTTTTTGCATGTAAACCCATACTTTCTTCAGTTCCTCGACTGTCTTCACTACCTTAGGTCGTTTAAGAAGGTGCTGCTTCATAATCGCCCAGTACTTCTCGATGGGGCGGAGCTCCGGAGTGTTGGGAGGATTGAACATTTTCGGCACGAAATTGACCTTATTGTTCGCATACCACTTCAGCACGTCCTTGGAGTAGTGGCATGAGGCCAAATCCGGCCAGAAGATTGTTGGGACGTTGTGGGCCTTCAGGAGAGGAAGCAGCCGCTTCTGAAGGCACTCTTTTATGTACACCTGTCCGTTCATCGTGTCCTGGGTCACGAAAGGTGCACTCCGCTTCCCGCACGTGCAGATGGCTTGCCAAACCAGGAATTTCTTCGCAAATTTGGACATCTTCTGAGTGCAGACATGCTCCGGAACGCTGAACTTATCCTTGGCCGTGAAAAACAGGTTGCCGGGGATCTGTTTGAAGTCGGCCTTCACATATGTTTCGTCGTCCCTGATGCAGCATTCAACTTTCGTCAGCATGTTGAGGTACAACTTCCTGGCACGGGTTTTGGCGGACTTGATCTGCTTCTCGTCGCGATTAGGGGCCTTTTGTACCTTGAACGTTCGAAGCCCAGCCTTAGTTTTGGCCTTCTGTACAAAACTTCGGCTTAGGTGCAGCTTCCTAGCCACATCCCTAACGGAGGCGTTCGGATTTCGGTTGAAGGCCCCAACTACGCGGTTGTGATTTTTGGTGTTGTACGGAATACTTTTTCCTTCACTTCTGGGCTTCCGATCGGTGGTCAACCGTTCCTCGAACCGCTTAATCACTCGCGACACCGTGGAATTCGCGATTCCCAACGTTTTAGCGATGGAACGATGCGAGAGATCCTTGTTCTCGTGATGAATGCGCAAGATTTTATCACGCACGAGCTGTTCTTTCGACTCCATTTCCGCGAGTTTTGATTACAGGACTTTAAAACTTGCAGGATGTAAATAATGCACTATGAACTAAATCCACCCAAATTTTCATTAAATTCTACCCAACGGTTAAAAAGTTAGAGCAATTTCATTTTGCAATTTCATCGTGGACACCCTTTATACGAGGGTAATCACTGTGCCTGTCCTGTTAAAAAGCAAAACGTGCATCAAATAACACGAATGTGAGTTTTTCTTTGTACAACATTCATTCCTCTTGCTTTAACGATGCCAAACGAGTGATAATATTGGTAAGCGCGAGATCGTCGGCCACTGATGGAACTGTTAGTCAATATACGCTGACCGTTTCCAATCATTAAATTCAACTCCTCCACGAGAAGGAGCAGGGTGAGTGATGGCAGAAGCTGTCCATCCACGACAAGAAATTTCTTTACCGTGTCTCATTCTGGTAGACGTTCACCGAAACATATACATGACTCACCCGGCAAGTGGAAAATGTACCTCTACATTATCATTATGGTACTCGGACAATGCTACAACCTAGAAATCAAGAAGGATTCGACCTAAAATTCCCACTGGTGATAGTAGAAGCAGCTATAGACCTTCAGTTGCTACCTAGTGTTACACACTTAGAAATAACTACTTTTACACGAGACGTTATCCATATTGGACGTAAATCATGAAACGTAAACAAACATTTCATGTAAAATTAAGTGTTCTGAAACCGAAACATAAGCAACTCGACGAAGAGAACCTTTGATTAAATTAATTTTCTCGTTTCTTTCAACTGATTCTTATGTCAAAAGGACCGCTTACATGTGTCGGTCTCAGGAAACTGAAATTTACTTTACTTTTTCGTAGTGCGTAGCCTTAACTTTTGGGTACTGAATTAATCTAAATTTGCTAAACATGTTTTGGTGGAAGAGTAAATCGACTGCGTCCATGGTTTTGATCTTTTGAACACCCTAATAAATAAACAGTTCATTAACAATACAAAAACAAATAGTGCTGCTCCTCTTCTTTCTCATGGCTCTCAACTTTTTACTTTTAATCCGTTTATCCTCATCGTCCATCAAATAATTTTCAGCAGCATACAAATGCTGGTCCAGGATCTAGATACCGGTTGCCAACGTTTGATTACTACCTTCTCTTTGTATTTGCTTGTTGTTCCTTCATTACTTTCATCCTTACTTGGTTTTGCTGGAATCAGAGTTGCGACCTATCACAATCACCATCATCAAACGTAACGCTTTGTACATTCCTATCAATGTGCTCGTCGAAGTTCTCTTCATGACCATCCATCAAGTTGACGAAAGAAGTAAAAATCAACTGGTGTATCTCGTCTTCTGTTGTGATCCATCACCGATCTGGTCATTCCTGACAATCACGACACTCATCTGTGCTCGTTTTGAAGCAGTTGCTGCTTTGCTTACTTATGTGAGTGTATTGGTGAGTGAGCCCAACAGCTTCCGTTTAATGTTGCCTGCTTTGTTTGTAACTCACACACTCGCGCCTGCCGAGACGAACTTGGAATGCGAAGGCATTGTTTTCATTTTCTTCTGTCGTTTCGCTTTTTCTCATGATCGTACTGCAGCAGTCTTCACTGTTTTCGTTGTGCTTTTCATTATCAGCAGCGAGTGTAACGATTTGCTTGTGAGCAGCGACCATTACTGGTGATTGTTGTTTGCCATGGCTCTAACTCTCACTGCGTGACAAAACGATCTGTAAGCGATAATCGGTTGATGCGAAGACGAGTGTCACGTGAGTGTCATGATATTTTGCATCACTGGCTGGAATTGCATACTTATCACCTGCTGGCGGGTCCTATCGCGTTTATAAATACCGCGCTTCAGATTGTTTCCGTCGAGGGCTTTGCTACCTCCGGTGTGGTTACCTTCAAAATTCTATTAGCAGCATCCTTCTCAATGTTGCTAATACAAGATCTACTGATGCCAGTGAAAAGAGAAACTGCTGCGGTTACAGTTACATCTGCAGAATGGCGGGATCGTTCAGTACCGGGTTGTTGTTGACACCGTACATCAATGCTGCAATTGGATCTGGATTCTGCAATTATTCTTGTTTATACAATTTGCTTTCAGTCCGTATCCTATTGCCATCTGGGGTTAATACGTAAGCAGGCCTATTCTGTCCCAAAACATTGCAACCTTTTATTATGATTCAGGATACTTGCGCTGGAAAATAAAAATAAAAATATCTGAAAAAAATGTCTCCTTTACTTTGAAGTAAACAAACGTTTACAACGTTAGCAACGCTTAGCAAAATGTCAACTCAAAGCAGTGATGCCATATTATATTCTATCTCATACTCACCATCGAGTGCCCTGTGTGCTACGATGTGTTTCGGCACAGTGTGCAGAGTTGATTGCCCCTTGGAAAATCCTCTTTTCTGGTGGCCATAGGCAGGGGTGCGTCCACCTTCGAATTTCAAGGCTTCAGAGAATCGCCAGCAAAAATATTTCTTATTTCTGGATCAACAATAGAAAAGGGCCCATCAGCATTTGTAAACAAACCGTTCCAAAGCCCATTCCTCACAAATCGAAGGCCGCCCACCAGTGCTGAGATTTGTCATTGTCATTGACAGACTTTTGCACGATATTGACAAAATTGTTTTTCACATAGTCAATGATAGACTTGATCCTCAAAAAAATCTTTGTCAAAATCTCATTCATTTTTCGTCAATGACAAAGATTCACCTGGTAACAGAAAGTGTAATTTCTTGCATTCTGAGACACATTATTGTTATCCAAGCGGTTCAGGACGTAGATGCTTATTCACTTTAATGGCTCCATGTAATTGTTTTGCTCAAGCTATTTAATTTCATTTCAAACTTAGCTAATAAACAAATCAGCACATGTTCGTCACTGACAAAAATTGTACTGACAATTGACATGGTTTGCCTTGACGATGACTGTTAGCTCAAACGAGTGACCAAAGCAGAATTTTGAGTATCACCGTGTATTGTCGAAATTTTGCAGCACTGCCGCCCACACAAACCAACATCATCATCGTGTAGGTGGAAGTTTCCCCTATTCGATGATGGTGGTGGTTTGCGTGGGTGGCCTTCGCTTTGTGAGTAAATGTCTTTGGAACGGTTTGTTTACAAATGTTGATGGACCCTTTTCTATTTTTGATCCAGATTTATCAATGCACACAGATGCAGAGCACACTGTACATTTTCAGTGCTCGGGTCATATTCATACTGGCGGTAGAACTTTGACAGCTGCGGTAGAACTTTAAGATAGCCATGGGATCGTAATCCGTAATATTTTGGGGTTATTAATCAAACTTGAGGGTGGCCTCTAAGATTTATTAAAAAAAATTCCAGAATAGTTCAAACAATTAGGTACATATGCAATATAGAACTATTTTTCTAGTTATTTTTCTAATTTGTACTCAAAATCCAGCCAAAGAACTACTACTTTTCTAACATTACATATCTGAAATAAACAAGCACCTACATACTACATTTTCACTCCCTCCATTTCAGAGCTCGATGATGGCGCCTACAACCCGCTCTGGACAACGAAGGGCTTCACCCAGACGTTCCATTTCTGGAAGGAGAACCGTCGCCAACAGTCGACGCCGCTTAATGCATTCCTAACTTACGTTACGCTCCCTTGGTGGAGCATAGCAAAAGGTACCGCCCAAATAATTCTCTAAAACAGTATTTTTAAGCCTCAAATCTTCCGCTAATTTCAGACCTCCTGGATCATCGCGAGCAACCGATTCTAACGTTCTAAAATCGAAGGTGAAATATTCCTACTCACACATGCAACGGAACATCACTTCTAGTACTATTACTACCACTGCTACTACACGCTACTGTACTAGTAATAACATTTTTTTCTATTTAGCAGTAAATCAAACATATGAGATCTGAAACAAATCCACCATTAAGCTTAGTCGTTTGGTGTAAAAACTAAACTAAACAAAATTGGACGACAGTCTGTTCCGTAGGTAGGATTACCAAATTTGAAGCACACTCTGGATGCAAAACGAAAAAAACTAGTCATTTTTAAGGAATTGCAATCGGCCGCTATGTAACGTTAAGTTCCAACTCAAAAGCTTGCAAAGTGTTGCCACTCCGCAAGCACAGTTCTCTCTCTCATAAACGCTTCTAGGTTTCCACATTTTACGTTCCGTATAAAATATTCTTATGAATTATCGTTATACAAAACAAAACAAAAATACTAAAAACCCGTACGCCGTATGGCCGCCCTCAGAGGACGATAACTTAATAAACAGCAGGAACAAATAAACATTTAGACATATATGGAAACAGTAGAACCATGCCGATTCCATGTTTTGAAGACAGAACAAATCTACCCCCCGGCACGGTCTCACTTCGCCCCATCAAGTGTCGCACTCAATAACCGATAATCTTCTTCTCTGTCTTGTCTTTGCCTCCCCTCGGATTCATTCATCGTGCAGCATCCGCAACCGGGCAGTTGTCGATCAGGCGCCGCGCTAATCGGACCTAGTTTCTTCGTTTCGTCTTTGGTCGGCGAATCCTGCCGTGCAGCAGTAGCAGCAGTCCTTTTGCCGGGTTCAGTGAAACTGATAACAGCTAGGCTATAGTGTGGTGTGATACGCGGTGATAAGGGATTAAGAAATTGTGAATGTGAGGTGCTCTGCTCTAGGACTGTTATAGAATTGCGGTGCTGTTGAAGAAAAACGGCGATGGTGTCCCTTCGAGCGGGACTAGTTTTCATAGTTGCAGCGATTGCTGTTGTGGAGCAATGTTGCTGGGCTTGCAGCAAGGTTCCAGTGTTCAATGGCCGTGCGGTGACCAAGGAGAAGAAACCCGGAGATAACGGATATCGGCTGGCAGTGCGCAACGATCCCAGCGGCTACGAACCGGGCAAGATCTATAACTGTAATTTTTTAACACGTTTTAGTACTAGGAAGTTTCTTCCATTTTCTATCGCCAGAAGGGCAAGCAAGAACATTCACTATTCTTACTCTAATCATGAAAGATGATAGTTTAATTATTGATGAGTACGCAAAACGCAATGCAACTAGTTCATCACTGATAACGAGCGGCAACGGCGAGGCGACGGCTATGTCTGTCTACGCGGGGAGTAAATTGAGCCGTTTGAATGTACATACAAGTAGTAACCGCTCGTGCTTGTAGCGGAAATGCTTTCCGCTGTGGTTGGATGGAATTTGTTTATGATGAGACGGATGTATTTATTTTGGTATTCGATTGATAGGTTTAGGTTGTTTTGAGGCAGGGAAATTGGGATAATCCTGATGCATGTATTTGGAAAAGTGAGAGTGGTAAATAATTAGCAAATCATCATATGCAAAATTAATGTACTAGGTATCTAGAGGCAGAAAAACTCAGCTAATTTTTTTAAGTATTCATAGATAATGATTTCATGTAGACTACAAGCCGCTTAAGGTTAATATTTATATAAACCACAAATGGCCGCTACCATGGCTGATTTTACAAGGCATATCAGTCATGAAAACGGCCATTTGTGAACTCTATCAACCTTGTCCTTAAATCAATTGTATCTGAGATTTCACATAGAATTTTAGGAAAGGTATAACCCTTATATTTCATGGTGTAACCTGCTTAAAACTTACTCAAGATTGTTTGTTTCTGAAACTACAATAGTACCATAGTACTGTCTATAATCGCATATCAGTCCCATGTGGTGTTTCGTCAATTTTGAGATAACAACGCTATCCACTATCAATTGGCATATACTTTCATATCACGTGATAAAACTACGGGCTTTGATCATGAAAAATGTCAAAACAATATCAAGACAGTTTGTCTCATTAAGCAAAGTAATCGCATATCAGTCCCATCCTGAAATTCAATCGTCCAGCTGGTCAAGTTACAGTTTTGCTCTTTGGATCGCCATATTTTTCACTGATATAATAAAACATCAAATATATCATATTAACAATATGATCCATTCATGCCTTTTCCATATATTGCAATGGCGACGCGCAAAATATCGCTTCACGCACCATCTAGCGTTGAAAAACCCTAATAAAAAATAACCATAAACGAACGATAACCCAAATCATTGAACTATTCCAAAAATGGTTTGGATGATACCCAGAACACGTCGTTTAGCAAATTAACCATACAATTTTTATTAGGGAAGGTCAGCAACAATCATTCAATTACAGTCGAGGGGTGCGAATATAGCACTTATTACAAAAGTAAGAGTAACATTATTTTCATTAATTACATTGTGTATATTACTTTAACATTTGTCTGACATGTCACTGTTGTCATCAAATAAAATAATATGCTGAAATACATTCATTTGAAATATTAAACAAATTCTCATTTGGTTGACCCCTCGTGACGATAAACAAATTCATTGGTAGCCTTTTTGGCCACAGAGGTGCTTTCAGCGCTAAAAATTTTGTTCGCCAGCTAAGCGAAAGAGTGGATCATATTGTTAATGTAATATATTTGAAAACATGCTATCTTCATTGTACACGATTTCACCTTGAAAAAAATATATCAATTAATTTACTATGATTTTTCAAACATTTACATGGGAATTGCACTTCGTAACTTCAACTGCCATAAGTGACTGATATGGGATTATAGCCAGAGTACCATTAAAAAGGGGGTACCAACTTTTTGTGTGTGCAAAAATCGGTATGTGTGACTTCGCTGGGCCCAGTTGCTGCGACTAGTGAAGAAAAGCGGTTGATTTCTAAGGCCGCGACTCTGCTCAAGTCATCCTTCAATCCTGGACCTAATGGAGTTCCATCTGTATTTTTGAAGAGACATATTGCTAGCTTGTTAATTCCGCTTCTTCGCCTGTTGCGAATGTCTCTCTCAGGTGGCATATTTCCATCTTGCTGGAAATTTGCGCACATGTTTCCCGTCCACAAAAAAGTAAGGAAACGAGCTGTGGATAACTATCGAGGAATTACATCGTTAAGTGCCGTTTCGAAGCTATTCGAGCTAGTGATTATGGAACCGTTGCTGTCCCATTGCAAGCAGTATTTGAGTGCTGATCAACATGGGTTTACTGTCGGCCGCTCTACAACCACCTGTGTCTCACATCGTATATAACCGAAAGCATGTCGGATCGGGTTCAAACGGACGTTATTTATTCAGACCTATCCGCAGTATTCGACAAGTTGAACCATGCTATTGCGATTGCTAAACTCGGCAGGCTCGGTGTATGCGGTAATCTTCTGAGTTGGTTTCGATCATATCTTACCGGTCGACAACTAAAGGTTGCCATAGGAGATTGCAGATCAGCTAGCTTCTTTGCCACATCAGATATACATCAGGGAAGCCACATGGGACCGTTAATTTTTATACTGTACTTCAACGACGTGCATCTGGTCATCGAAGCTCCTCGGTTATCATATGCAGATGACCTCAAAATCTTCCTACGAATCTGCTCCATTGCTGACTGTCACTTTCTTCAACGTCAACTGAATGTATTCGCTAGTTGGTGCAGGTTAAACAGAATAGTAGTGAACCCAGCCAAATGCTCCGCTATTACGTTCTCACGAAAACAACAACCGATAATATTTAGCTATGACCTGCTTGGCTCGACAATCGAACGCGTGAAAGACTTGGGTGTGATCTTGGATTCGCAGCTTTCATGCAAACAACACATTGCATATGTTGTTGATAAGGCGTCAAGAACTTTAGGGTTCATTTTTAGGATAGCTTAAAACTTCACTGATATTTACTGTCTAAAATCTCTCTATTTTTCGCTTGTTCGATCGACGCTTGAGTATTGTTCAGTGGTTTGGAACCCAAACTACAACAACGGTGCGGAGAGAATTGAATCTGTTCAACGTTGCTTTCTTCGTTTTGCGTTGTGTAGATTGCCTTGGAATGATCCGTTTCGATTACCCAGTTACGAAAGCCGTTGTCAACTTATCGACCTAGAACTTCTCCGGACTAGAAGAGACACAAGCAGAGCCCTAACCGTGGCCGATATCCTGCAAGGAAGGACAGATTGCGAGGCTATCCTGAGGCAAATTGACCTGAATGTTCAACCCCGACCGCTTCGTAATAACCTTAGGCTATAGTCTTATAAGACTGCCTCTACGTCGCACAAATTATGGAGCATACGGTGCGATTTGCGGACTGCAGAGAACATTCAACAGAGTTGCATCTGTTTTCGACTTTCATCTCTCCCGTGATGCTCTTCGTCGAAAGTTTTCTTCTGTTTTTCGCCGGTAGGAGTAACTGACTATAAGATATATCGACAGTGAGCATGCATAAGGGCGAATACGCGATGATCGATTCTCTTCATCGTTTTTCTCTTTGCATTGGTACAGCTAAGCGAAACAATTTTCTATAATTTGTTAAATGCAGAGTAGTAACAGGTTGTATTGGCTATCAAAAGCAACAGCAAACACACCGAGAAACGTTAAATCTAGCGAGTTATTAACAAAAGAGAAAATCGACGAAGAGAATCGATCATCGCGTATACGCCCTTATGCATGCTCTTTGTCGATATGTTTTTTAATTTTTTTTTTATGTTATGACCATGCTTGAATGTTTTTTTTTACCATAGTTGATAAGGTTAACATCATTGGGGCTTTATCCAGCCTGTTGATGTAAAAGAACAATAAAACAATAAAGCAATTAGAAGAATTAAAGAAGTTGCGGGTTATTGTAGAGGACATTTTTTTTCTGAATTGATTGATGAGTGTTTTAGGAAATATTATAAATTAAAAATATGGTCCATTCCTCTATTATCCCCAAGAAACGATTTTCCTCGACACTAACACCACTAGTGACACGAAAGATGTCTAGTACACTGTAAATTGAGCTCTTAGCAGTTGATAGCACAATATCACCAAGGCAATCGAAAACAACTCACAATTGAGTAAATTTTTACTCAGTATTGTGGAAAATCAGACTATAAATTACTCATCATGGCGAACATCATAATGCACTACTTTTTCTAACGATTGCACATAAACTTATACTCCACTGTCCAGTCCGCAACCTTCAACTTTAACCTTTTTTTTACGTATGATGGAGGATGCTAGTGACTAGAGCAACATGTGAATAGTGCGTATGTGCAGGGCTGGTAGCGGGTCACATTGCCGTAATACAACGGAACTAAAGGGTGTCCACGATAAAATTGCCACACTATGAAATTGCTCTAACTTTTTAACCGTTTGGTAGAATTTAATGAAAAATTGGGTGGATTTAGTTCATAGTGCATTATTTACATCCTGCAAGTTTTAAAGTCCTGTGATCAAAACTCGCGGAAATGGAGTCGAAAGAACAGCTCGTGCGTGATAAAATCTTGCGCATTCATCACGAGAACAAGGATCTCTCGCATCGTTCCATCGCTAAAACGTTGGGAATCGCGAATTCCACGGTGTCGCAAGTGATTAAGCGGTTCGAGGAACGGTTGACCACCGATCGGAAGCCCAGAAGTGAAGGAAAAAGTATTCCGTACAACACCAAAAATCACAACCGCGTAGTTGGGGCCTTCAACCGAAATCCGAACACCTCCGTTAGGGGTGTGGCTAAGAAGCTGCACCTAAGCCGAAGTTTTGTCCAGAAGGCCAAAACTAAGGCTGGGCTTCGAACGTTCAAGGTACAAAAGGCCCCTAATCGCGACGAGAAGCAGAACAAGTCCGCCAAAACCCGTGCCAGGAAGTTGTACCTCAACATGCTGACGAAAGTTGAATGCTGCATCATGGACGACGAAACATATGTGAAGGCCGACTTCAAACAGATCCCCGGCAACCTGTTTTTCACGGCCAAGGATAAGTTCAGCGTTCCGGAGCATGTCCACACTCAGAAGATGTCCAAATTTGCGAAGAAATTCCTGGTTTGGCAAGCCATCTGTACGTGCGGGAAGCGGAGTGCACCTTTCGTGACCCAGGACACGATGAACGGAC